GCTTTCGGTCCCTTTTTTCAAAAACATACCTAAAAGATTTGACAATCTCTTCAGAAGATTTTTTTTAGCTGTGTAGCTAGGGGATGCAGAAGCAGTCGGATATTTAGTTCGAGAAACCCTGTTTTTCTTATAAAAAGCACAGGATTCAACTCTGATACAAATATCAATCATGACATTTTCCAGTTTAAATATTTTCTAAAATTTGTTCAACCTTTCCAAGAATTTTTATCCCAATAACTTTCTTGTATAGTTTAATGAGATTTGATCAAACAGATCAAGTATCTGCAGGACCAGCGACTGCGAAAATAATTTTGATGAGGATTTTGATGTGGAGAATTTATCAGGCAGCTTGGAAGATTTGGTCGGCACATTTGACCAGAAAATTTCGCAGTGCTTTAAGGATCTCAATGAGGCTACCGAGGATTTAGCACCAGTACAAGTGCGCTCACAAGATGAAATCATGTCTGAAAGCCAGTTCGTTGTTTTATTAAGCGTTTTTGCGTCTTTTTCTATTCGGAACTGTGCAAAACGCATGATCGCACCGGCTACCCTGGTGCGCGCCGCTGCTTATTTTTTTTTTTTTTTTGTCTAAAAGAGAAAATTCTTTAAATTTCTTGTAAACGGAAGAAAAATTTTGCTAATTTTTTGAAAAAACCGTTTAAAAAAACTTCTTGAGGCCTCGTTGAGATCAGTGACAATGTAGAATCCTTGCATATTTAAGCTCCTCCTTTCCTTTCGCTTCCAGGCTCGGTTGCTTTTTGTGACAGAGAGCAGATAAGCTGAGAAGCGAAAATCGATAAGCTGTGGTTGAGTTCCGAAGGCTGTCTTACGTAGAAAGATTGATAAAGGGATTGTTTTTGGTTGGTGACTCTACCCTTTTCAACAACTGCTCAGCCCCCTTTTTTCGACTATCTAGAAGCCTAATGAATGTGGGGTGAGGGTCCCAATGCGTTTTTTTAAGATACTGAACGGGGTGTTTAATGTTTTCCGCATTTTTGACTGTGTGGGACACTGAACTGTTAGAAGGGAGTGATTGGAACGGGTGTTTGATGTTGCACTACCAGGATTATAAACGAGTGGCTTTGAAGAAGTTAGATTCGATCCAAAGAGAGCGTTATTCAAGTTTGGCAGGGCAACTTTTTTTATGCGTTTTCTGCACCTGTGCCATGCAAAAAACGCATATTGCCGAGGGGTTGTCTGTGTGTGTCTGTATCTGTTTTTCATCTCGAGACCTATAAGAGCTGCAGGGCTGAAACTTTGGGAACTTGATCTGCATGCACGTACGGGCTCCCATCCCCAAAATGGGCGCTCTTACCCACGTGTTTCCCACATACGGGCCTGTCGATGTTTTTGGCGGGTAAGCCGCTAACTCGGAAACCTGAAAAGTTAGAAGGCTGTAATTTTAAGGGGATGTCCTCGTCCACACAGGTCTTAATGAGTTCAAACTGGTTCCCATGCATGGGCCATAAAGTTTTTTGAGGGTAATTTGCTAACTCGG